TTGAACTGCAAGGTCAGCGACTCAAACTCACCAGCCACTCCTCAGAAATCCTGCATAGGATCACTATGAGTTGGAGCCAACTCAGCAAATTAACAACAATTTTTTAAGGACCATTGGTTAGCAAATTCTACAAACCATCTCTTAAATAGTTAACTGGCTCACACTATATTTGACGGAAGCAATTTGATAGACGAGGAGCCCTGATCGTGAAATGGTTAAAGACTTTGTTGTTGTTGTTATGTGCCATGGAGTTGGTTCCGACTCACAGCGACCCTGTACAGGGTTTCCGAGGCCGTAAATCTTTACGGGAGCAGAAAGTCTCATCTTTCTCCCGTGGAACAGCTGGTAGTTTCAAACTGCTAACCTTGCGGTTCGCAGCCTGATTTATAACCACTACGCTACCAGAGCTCCTTAGCTGTTGCTAATTGAAACACTGAAGGTTCAAACACACCAGGTGCTTCTCAGGAGAAAAATGTGGCTGTCCGATGAGTGGGAATTGACTCAATGGCAGCAAATACGGTTTTGTTATTAGAGATCTTCAATATCATGTAATCATCTCCCATGATGTGATCTGTTGTGATCAGCCAATCAAATCGTAAGGGGTCTAGGATGCAGTACCCATGCGTAGGTCACAGCCCTGAGCCAATTTACAGGGAGTTTCCCTGGGGTGTAGTCTATATCTTCTTTGATCTCACAAGAGAGAAAAGGAGAGAAAAGCAGCAGAGAAGAAGGGACCTGACTACCACTAACAACAAACTGAGAGAGAATACATTTGTTTGTTCAAGTTACCCACTTATGGTATTTCAGTTATAGCAACCCTAGGTAACTAAGACACATGGTTCTATGGAGGCTAACATATGGCACATCCAATGTTTCACCATAGACTGAAAATATCGTACCAGATATAAGCTTGTACTGCTATAAAAGAGATGGCACCAATAGCAGTAAGAAACATCTAACTATGAGCTTCTCTTTATGCCAAAAGAAAAGCAAAAGGAAAGAAAACAGGTTTTGTACTATGGAGGACAACACATATGTTCTTTACCTGCAATGATCCCATCCATCTGCTCAAGGGCAGCCTCCAAAGCATGACTCGCATCAGAAGCCATGACTCTCCTTTTGCCGACGCCGTCTCCTTCTCTGATTACTGAAAGTGCAAATACCGAAAAAGGGAACAATTACAGAGTTCTATATTATACAGACAAGACCATAAAACTCTTTTATTACATCATCACATAGTTTGCTACATAAAAATCCAGGCAGTCAGTGTGTGGTTTCTTGCCATCTCTATACCCTCTCCCTCCCACATGAATTCTTTCCCACAAATCTTCAGCACATGAGCCCATTTGCTTCTGTAACTGAAGAGCTCTCCAGAGTCACCTGTAGCAGCAAGACAACGATTGCCACGCCTTACTGTGATTACAGTCCCAGGTTCCAGAAGCTCCAACTACCACCTGGGGAAGGTGCAGAGAAAGCAGCACATATGATGGAAAGTGCTGTCGAGTCAGTTCTGACTCAAAAGTGACCCTGTATAGGGTTTCCAAGGAGCAGCTGGTGAGCTTGAACCACTGACCCTGTGGTTCAAATTGGCCTTGCAGTCCAATGCAACACCACACCAGAACTCCATATATGAGGAGGCTTCAAAAAGTTCATGGAAATTTTTCATTATCTTTTCAATCCATTTTTCCATTACCTTTTGATGTCCCCTCATATTTACTTCCTTGCTAACTGCTCACTCCTATGTCCCTAAGTGCCTAGCAGAAGGCCTGACCATGGAAGGTTATGAGTACATTTTTTTCTTGGAGCGGGGGGTGGGGTGGGGGTTTCAGAAGGTGAGTTGCTGTTATTGTTATTAAGTGAAGTCGAATCTGTTCCAACTCATAGCTACCCTGTACACGGTTTCCGAGGAGCAGTTGATGGTTGAACCACTGACCTTATGGTTAAGTGCTTCTTGGCAAGGCCTAGGTCTTAATTTTAGTGTTAGGGTTATGGTTAGGACTAGGGTTAAAGTTAGGGTGTTGTTTTTTTTTCCAGGGGTTGGGTTAGGACTAGGTATAAGGCTTGGTCTAGTTTTAGGGTTACAATTAGTCTTATTTTATTTACTTATTTTCTTGAAATCTACTTGATTTCCCCTTCATTTGCAAATTCTGTAACATCATTTCCTCTTTTTACTTTGTATGTTTTTTGTTGTTGCAAACTGGTATTACAGTGGTGCTGTGGGCTAATGTGTCAGACTACAAAGTCATTTGAACTGCAAGGTCAGTGGTTCAAGCTCACCAGCTGCTCCTTGGAAACCCTATACAGGGTCGCTATGGGTCGGAATTGATTCAACAGCACTTAACAACAACAATTTTCAATCTTGTAGGATTGTTTTACTTTGAACATTGCACTGTGGGTTAATGCACTGGGCTACAAAGTCTGTTTGAACCATAAGGTTGGTGGTTCAAGTTCACCAGCTGCTCCTCGGAAACCCTATACAGGGTCACTATCGGTCGGAACCGACTCAACGGCACTTAACAACAACATATCTGTGCTGCCCTGGTAGTATCATGGCTTACAAGTTGGGCTGTTATCTGAAAGGTCAGCAGTTATAATCTACCAACAGCTCCATGGGAGAAAGATGAGGCTTTCTACTCCCGTAAAGATTTACAGCTTCAGAAACCACATACAGGGTCACTAAGAAGCAGAACTAACTCCACGTCACAAACCCACCACCACCACTACATCTGGGTTGAGTTCTGGATGATATTGTCATGTAGGTTAGTCTCAGTTTGTTGTCCACTGTTTTTGGTTCTTTGTCCAAAGAACTCCCTTTTAGTATTTTTTGTTGAGTCTGGTTTTTAAAATTCTTTTACTTATGTTAATCTGTAAATGTTATAATTTTGCTGTCATGTTTGATGGACAATTCTGCAAGGCAAACTTTTTTCTTTCAGAATTTAATATTCATCATTTCATTGTCTTCTTGCCTGCATGCTTTCTCCTAAAAAATCAGAACTTGGTCTTTCTAGTTTTTCTTTATAGGTAACGTTTTGTTTTTCCAGAGCTGCTGTCAGGATCTTTTCATTGTCTTTGGTTTTGAAAAGTTTGATTATGATATGTCTTGGTGTTTTTCTTTTGAGGTCTATTATGCCTGGAATTCACATAACTTCTTAAATGGCTATCCTTTCATCTTTCATGATGTTAGAGAAGTTTTCTTCCAGCAAGTCTTGGACAATTTCCCTAATTTTTTTTTTTCCTCTTCCTGTTCTGGAATTCCAATAACACTTACGTTATTCCTCCTGATAGTGTCCCACATAAATCTTAGGCTTTCTTCAGATTTTTTTGTTTCCTTTTTCTAACTGTTGCTCTAGGAAATGAATATCGAGAGAATTGTCTTCAAGCTCAGTAATTCAGCCTCTAATTCAACTCTACTTCTTTGCCTTTTTAATGTATTATCTGAAGTCTTAGTATGAATCTTATGGGTTTTTTTAATTCCTGTTTTTGTACAGTTTTCAATTTTTCATTTATTTTGTCATTTGTTCCTGTAGTGTTTTCCTGAATTCTTCCTTGCTTTCATTGATCTTCCTCTCAATTCACGGAAGGTACCTAAATAGCATTCTTTTAAAGTCCTTATCAAGTAGTTTTGACAGCATTTCTGGTGCTATATTTTCTGGCTGTTGATTTTGGTAACTTGTTTGAGGCACTTAGTCTTGTTTCTTTGTGTAAGCTGAAATAGTCTGTTTTCTCCTAGACATGGTGGTGCCATTTTGTTTATATTTAATGAATGATTATATGTTGGTGTGTTCTCTGGCACTCACCATCTGTCTCCTGGTGGATGTGATACAGACTGGGAGTCTGAACACAGTTCTCTGCTCACTGTTTGTGTAATGTAGATCAGTGTAGATTCATGAACCTCTTTCCAGGAGACAGGTGGTATGCCCAACACCCAATCCCAAGCAGAGGTTGAGCAGGAGGGGGTCACTACATTGGCGATAGCATGACTGGCCACATCCCCAGATACCAAGATGGCATGGGAACAAGGGAGGACTGCACCCGTCTTATCTCCCAGCGACAGCCAGGACCTGTGCCTGCAGGCCACTGTATTGGCAGCCGCTTGCAAAAGCTCAAGAGGCCCATGCTGCTTCACAACAGCAGACAGCCCGCCTACTTTTCTTTCTCTCACTGTTCCTGTTCAGCTTCCTCTTCCAGCTGGCACTCAGTCCACATCTTTCTTCTGTCTTATCCTCTGAAACTCAGTGTTCTAGGACCACCATCTGTAGCGATTTCACTTGTTCTCCATGTCTTCACCATCTTGCCCCGGACCTCTGAGTACAACCTTGTGAATAAATGATTGGATCCATACAGCCAACATTCCCTGAATCCCTACTGTGTTGGCCCCTGTGCTGAGCACAAGAGGGATAATGATAAATATGGACCCAGGACCTGCCCTTTAGGCCCACAACATCTACTGGAGAAAACAAACATAATAAATAATAAAGACACTGTGTGATATGATAGAGGCAGTTTCCCAGAGGACTCATCTTGAAGGATGAGTAGGAGTTTTCTGAAAAGATAAGGGGACAGTGCATGAAAGGCAGAGAGGCATGTTAGGGCAGAACGCAATTAGGCAAAGGTCAAAATGGTTACCAAGATTATACAGGAGCATGCAGCTCGAGAGGAGTTAAAACTGTCCACAGAATTCACATGAGTATGACAAGGGCAATTAATAAAAGGAGCTTGGGAACTAGAGGTCTAGGTACAGTGCATGACAAAGTAGCCTCCAAAGTAAATACAAGAAGCATCTATTTCAGTAGCCTTGGCCCTTCAGTAAGTTTTGGATGGCCCTATTTGGGGTCTTACTAACAAAGTGAAAGGCAGAAGGTCAGTCAGAAGGTGTCAAGCTCAGAAGACCCAATCTACTCCCCCTTCAAGAGAAGGGCCATAAAAGAGGTCTCATGGGCCTTCTGCCCAGGGATGAGCTTTAGCTTGGCAAAAAGGAAATTGGGTGGACCCGTGGGAGTTGGCTTGAAATGAAATATGAGTCAAAGGTGTATCATATTTACAACCCAGGAGCCTGGGCCAGTAAGACTGGGAGGGCTCAGGATCAGGAAACCTGCTTTGGGCAGAGCTGATGAGCTCAGTTCTTAACCTGCTGGGTCTGAAGTAATGGCAGGGTCTGAGGTAAGAGAGGTTCCCTGCCAATCTCTGTCATGGAGTAGCTGTGAGGCGTCAGTAGTGTGAGATATGGAAGAGATCTCTGAAGGGTTGAACGTACCACAGGTTTCTGTGAACCTGGACTATCTTACTGAAACAAGGAAGTTATACATTCCCTAGCCATTCTTATTCTGTCAGTTAAATGCCATTTTATTCCTTCACCACTGCCTGGGTTAGGGTTCCCCATCAGTAACACAATGGAATGATCCCTGTCCTTAAGAATCTTGGGATTTGATATGTCATCTGACAATATGCAGTATATTAATATCTTCAATGTCTGTCCCTCCCCACAGAGACACCGTATCTCCACTGGAAGCCTGGGTTCATCAGAGATGTTCATCAGTATGAAGCTCCAGAAGTAATATGTCAGGAAACGTCCTGGAGAGAATGGAGGTTAAGAAACCAGACATAGCCTGTAGAAGGCTCAATAATCCAAAGGGACTGGGAAAAAGAGCCAGAATTCAGGTCAAAGTTCAGAAGAACAAAACTGAAAACCAAGGTAACCTCGAAGCAGGTGAAAAGTAGAGCTCAAATAATTCCCCTATTTGAGGAAAAGAGGAGCTGTAGCAGCCACCTGGGGGCCTACCATAGCGTGGACAACAGAGGTATACACCCCAGGCAGTCCATGAGGGTGAGGAGCAGACATAAAGGAAGACACTGCTCTTAACATGTTTAATACAGTGACAGGTGCTATACTGGTCAAGAGTAATTGTTATTCTCTCTGGACACTTAGAATATTATCACCACCCTACATTTGACCCTGATGAGCAAGCAGGCTTTAGATAACAAGAAATGGGCTCATTCCTAGACACAAAGATAAAGTGGGGTAAGTTGTTTAAGAAAGAAAAGGTGGGGTCCATTCATCATCAGTCTTTCCCTTCACCCACAAGCATCACATAAACCACAGCTACTCTTAAATGGTTATCTTAAGAAACGTTTCCTGTAAGGGGTCCT